CAGAGAAGTGTGGCCAGCAGGTCGAGGGAGGGGATTCTGCCCCTGTACTCTGCTCTGGTGAGACCCCACCTGGAGTGCTGCGTCCAGCTGCGGGACCCCAACATCAGAAGGATATAGACCAGTTGGAGCGAGTCTGGAGGAGGCCATGAAGTTGCTCCGAGGGCTGGAGCACCTCTGCTATGGGGACAGGCTGAGAGAACTGGGCTTGTTCAGCCTGGAGAAGAGAAGGGTTCAGGGAGACCTTATTCTGGTTTCTCAGTACTTAAAGGGGTCCATAAGAAAGATGAGGACAGACTTCTTAGCATGGCCTGTTGCGATACAACAAGAAGTAATGGTTTTAAACTAGAAGATGGTAGATTCAGACTAGAAAAATGGAGGAAATTTTTTACAGTGAGGGTTGTGAGGCACTGGAACAGGTTTCCCAGAGGGGTGGTGGATGCCTCATCCCTGGAAACATTTGAAGCCAGGTTGGAGGGGACTCTGAGCAACCTGATTCTAATTGAAGATGTCCCTGCTCATTGCAGGGGCATTGGACTAGATGACCCATGGAAGTCTCTTCCAATTCAAACTATTCTACGATTATTTGGTTTATCAGAAGGTAATGCAAATGGTAAAAACCAAAGTTAAATGACAATTATTAGATCTAAGTATCCAGACAAATGTTGCTTCTGCTTTTCAGAACTGCCTGAAGTCTAAGCTTTTACCTGGCTAATTTTTCTACCTTTATAACATCAATAAAAGAACTCTGAAACCACATTAATACATACAAACAGAACGCTACAAGGCGTTGGTTTTCTTTTACGTCATTCTAACAGTAATTCCATTGGAAAGGTAGTAGTTACCTGATGTATTAACAGTTCCTTTGATTTTACAACTTGCCTCTTCAAATTTGTATAGATTGGTAGGAAAAAAATTGTTCCAGCTATACATCCTACAATTGTGTTTACATTCTCTATTATCCATAGCCTGCAACTTTCAAAAAAAGTGAAAGTCACCCATCTGAGAAAAACAAGCAGGATCTCTAGTATATGCACTACAGACAGACAAAAACTTCCTGTAATCCCACCGGTTACTTACATCTAAAATTACTTTTATGTCATAGTGTGGCCAGCAGTCAGTTGAAATTATCAAGGCAATTGCTTAAAGGAAATGCATCAGTCAAATGACAAATGTCACACCTAAGAGCCAAAATAACTCTTCTTTTTGTACTTCCTTCAGCAGACAAAGAAGGAAAGAAAGTAATTCTCAGCCCTCACCATGGCTTCTGGGAAGTCAAGAACTGCTCTTAAAATGTTCTTTGTGTTTTTAGGAGTGCTTTGTTTAAAGTTAAAATTCCTCTATTCAGGGAAACTGGGGCAATGGTAAAAATAACAATCTGAATCCCAGAAGCACATACAGAAACTAGAAAGTTCAATGATGAGACACTCAGAAGAGTTCTGTCAAGAGTTAACCCAGTTGGACCTGACTGGCCCCTGAAGAGACTGTTTTGTGTAACAACATTCTGCCTCTTAGCATCCCTTCCAGAATGATTAACAGTACAGCTCCTGTGCCAGATAGAGATATAAGATATCTTGGCTGTTGGGTTGTATGTTGTAAAGACCATTCCAGAACAAGAACATAGAATTATAAGGCAGTTTTGTCACAAGCTCATTCTTCAGGAATCTGTTTTGATTTGGTAGAATTTATTTGGTCACTTCTCTCTTCTGCATTTAAGTGAATTCCCCATAATACTGAAACAGTACAGAAAAAGCAGAGCTGAGCCTGCTTCAGGGACCTCTGAACCTGCTGTACTTACCAGCATGGGCTTCACATTATGCAAAGGCAGCAGAACTGCTTCCAGGCTTTGAACAACCATGGAAGAAGTACCAAAGAGATTGCTTGCACATTTTAAGGGTGAAAGTTGGAGGAAAGCAAGATTAACTAAGACTCAAATCTATTATCCTACACATGTTAAATCTCTTCTTTATTCCCTTACCATGCCCAAAACTCTTACATTCAGTAAGCTGTAACTATCAGTAATCCCTGCCACCTGAGGAAAGGTACGATGTAAATTATGCCATCCTACTAATTCCTTGAAGGAAGGAATAAAGACACTGCAGCTATAGTAAAGCAATTTGCTAGCTGCCAGGTTTAAAAGATCCTGAATGTATCCTTTGCAGTCTTTCAGAACAGAAAGCACAAGACGGTAATTTTATTTGCTAAACAACTACTTAGAAACAGCCAAGAAAACTAATCTTGTTGAGACAGACCTTTGTACACATACATATGCATATATGGAATTACTTGGAAGAAAATATTAAATTGAGGAGCTATGATGAAAGAAAAAAGTATTTTCCCTCTTATCTTGCCTCCTTCGCAAAAACTATAACCAAGAAAATGGAAAGAAGGATTATGAAGTTAACAAACAGCATTCTGAAGTGACAGTTGACTTAGAATCATAGAATGGTTTGGGTTGGAATGGACCTTAAAGACCATCTAGTTCTAAGCCCCCTGCCATGGGCAGGGACACCTTCCACTAGACCACGTTGCTCAAAGCCTCATCCAGCCTGGCCTTGAACACTTCCAGGGATGGGGCATCCACAGCTTCTCTGGGCAACCTGTTCCAGTGCCTCATCACCCTCTCCAGGAAGAATTTCTTCCTGATATCTAATCTAAATCTCCCCTCTTTTAGTTTAAACCCATTACCCCTTGTCCTGTCACTACAGGCTCTTGTAAACAGTCCACTCCCAGCTGCCTTGTCAGGTCCTTCAGGTACTGGAAGGTGCTATAAGGTCTCCTCGGAGCCTTCTCTTCTCCAGGCTGAACAAGCCCAACTCTTGCAGCCTTTCGTCATGGGAGAGGTGCTCCAGCCCTCTGTTCATACTTCCTGACATTATTATTTTACTTGTTTTACTTTGGACAGAAAAACACATGGGGATTTGTATATGCTGAAAGGAGTCTACTGGCCTAGAGGAATATTGTTAGTAGAATTAAACAGAATCACGAACAAGCTTTGCAAGAACATCTATTTTTAATATGCTCATTGCTGAATGTAATAGAAGAAGGTGCATTGTGCAGATGCACACTTGTAACACAATATGGGAAAGTATTTTAAACACAGCTGACAATCACAAAAGCATAAAGGGACATAAGGTCTGGAGACCTAAGAAATTGAAGTTATGTGTGTTAAAAGTACCAACCTATCCACAGAGGCCTCTCAGAAATTTCTGATACAAGGTGAAGCACGAGAGGAAGAGGACTTGTAGTTCATAAACCAAGTAAGAAAAAGCTCCGAGTGTATCAGTGGGTCACAGGATGATGACGTGCTGCCAAAGTTATGTCCTTAATAAAGGCCTTCTTAGGATTACCATGAAAAATACGCCCAATACATATGGTGAGGAATTAATGCTGCTTTTTGAGGTTAGAGTAGATCTCACCTGTGTTCTATGAACAACTCTATCCTAGGCCACCCCAAAACCACTCTTTTCCTCCTTCCTGACATTATTACTTTTAACTACATCTTTCTTAATTCTATTTCCAAAATTTAACCACATTAATGTAGACTGTAAATTATATAATAATCCTCAGATTCTCTTACTGACTACTTCTGTGCAATATTAATTGGCAACTGGTGAGAATATACAACATGATCAGGTATTGATTTACAGTGCTGCTATATCCTACTTGAATTTATCTGCTCCTTGTTGCGTTCCTTAGTGACCACCAACTACAATTCACTACTTAAAAAATAACAGAAGGCTAGGTTATAAAATCAAGCCAAATTTGGGCCCATTTATCCTAAAACTATTAAATACGTTTTTTCAGTTAGGCATTGATGTACTAAAAAAATCCAGATTCCAAGCTTTCAGCACCCTCTACAGGCTGACTGGTTTTATGCAACTAAATATGCAAAACTACTGTCAGCTGTGATAATTATTAAAGTGTGCAGTTGTGATTATCACATTTAAAAAAAAAAAAGGATAAACATGTAACTGTAGCCCCTAAGGAATTAATTTCACTACCAAAAGAGAAAACAAGTACCCAGTGATTATGAAAATGTTTGCTTCAAACAAGAAGCAACACCAGAATCACCATTTTTATCCAGTCTTGTCAGCTAAATTCTTATAAAAGTCAACTCCCATATACTTTTTAAGGTAATCTGCTCTGTGTGGTTCTCATTAACAAGAAGTTTTATGCCACCAGCTATGCAGAAAACAAAGAAATTTAGCTTACCATCCCTGTTGGACAGCAAACATACAAGGCCATTAAGGCACGTGTCAGTCACTTCGGTGATGTTAGTAGCATATCTGCCTATAGCCTGAATTGTAGCTGCAGCAAACTGTTTATCTTGGCTCTTCACGTAAGTCTAAGAAAACAATATTTTCATTAGTCAACACGTAAGTCTTGTCAACCAAAGACTTACCACATTATCCTCATAAAACCAGACATACTGTACAATAAATTCAATCTAGACAGTTACATTGCACATTAAAAATACTTTTTTCACCTCATGGTCACTTTTAGAAGAAATTTTCTTGCTGGTTTTCCTCACCCATGGCCATGCAAACCTCTGATTTCAAGAAAGCTTGGGGCAGGGGGCAATTACCCAAAACCAGCAATTAGTTTGTGTGCAAGGTTGGAGGAGTTGATGAGCTCTCTCTTCAGAGAGGTTTCAGTTCATTTAACCAGGAGCATCTGTGAAACTATGAATAACCTACCTGCCTGAGAACCAATACCTTTCAGAGAAATCCAGCCAGAGAACTGAAGCAATGAAAATAGATGTCATAAGCAAAGAAGAAAGAAAGAAGGACAGACACTGTTTCACAATATAGGCAGAACATCTTGCTGATACATGCAGAGATATTGGCAATAATACTATTTCATCAAATGACTTAAAGAAATGAGGTTTGGTAATAAATGATAACAAAAAATTATTGCTAAAATTAAGACCCTATCACCTAGTAACTTAACAGTGTCAGTCAAGTTGGCAGAATTTGTTTTAAAGATTTTGGAATGATAAAGGTTTTGAGGTTGGGTTTGATTTTTTTTTGGGTAGCTGGAAGGAGGGTGTGAACAAAACACAAATTCCCTTCCATATATAAAAACTTCATCATCCATTATGACATCAGACAGTTTCACTTCCATTCCGAGAACATTTTATCTTGGAAAAGACTTTAACTTGAAAAATTTAAGGCTAAGAATCGAGATGAAACATCCAATAATGGCAATTGTCCAACAGAGAGAGTGTTATGTAAAAAGAATACGCTTTTGCACAAACCTGAAATTCTCGAAGCAGAGTTGATATGTTGGCTTCATTTGCTAAATTTGTCAAGATTTCAAGCTATAAGAAAAAAACCAGATATTTTATCAAAAGCTAAAATAATATTATAAACAGTACCACATATATACTATACTTTCACTGCATATAAGTAAAAGATAATACTACTAAAAATACCACTTAGAATTCAACAGACTATACCACATTTCAGTATAAACTGGTAGCAGCATTGCACTCAGGAGGAATATTCTCCTTGCAAGTACACGCAAGGCTTTCAAAGCAGGACTCTAGGGTTCAGTGATGCACTTTCTATGAGCTCTAGCTTTAGTGTTGCATTGCATATCAAATGGGCTTGAAATACTTCTAGCAGAATGGTTTCCAATGTAATACAACAGGCCTTAGCATCTAAGACCCAAGTGACACTGTAAGAAGAAATAACAGAAATCACAACTGCAGACGGGGAGAAATAAAATGCCCATTATATTCAGGTGAACTGCAATAAAAGACCTTTAAACTCAGGAAATAAACAGATGCATCTATGAAAGTCCTCAGATCTTAATCAACATCAACAACAACAGACCCTAAAAGGCCTCCTCTTTGTTCCTGGTGAACAAGAGGATGATCCACAACACTTCACATATAGTTGAGATGCTGTGCTTCCAGGCTGTTTCAACTTTGAAGAAGAAAGAATTCCAAGACAATCTGAATGAATTAATCTGAAGAAAAAGACAGCTCTGCCTCTGTAAAGGGAAGTCATGCCTCAGAAATCTGTTGGTATTTTTTGAGATGGATGCACACAGAGAAGAGCACTTAATAGTCCACCTGTACTTCAGAAGCAATTTGATAAGAGCTGTCACCAAAGGGTCTTAAAAAAAAGTATGTAACATAGCATATGAAGCAAGTGAATACATGAAAGAGAGGAATAGGCAGGGAATTAAGAGACTATTTTACAGTACAGGAAGGCTATCAGTGGAACCCTACAAGTATCTTTGTTGGTCTTTTGCTTTTCAACACATTCATATATGAACTATGAAAGTAGTGAGAAGACAAGTGACAGTTTTCAGCTGATGCTAGAGTTTTCAGAGAAATGGAGACAAAGGGTGACTAAGAAGAGCCACACAGAAACTTCAAATATTAAATGACTCCTTAAAATGGCAAAATAAAAAATAAACTCAGATAAATTTAATGTTCATAATTGGGGAAAAACCTTAACTTCTCAGAAAACAATAGGCTCTGAGCAGATTACCAGAAATTATAACTGAGAATTTGTGGTTAAAATAGATAATTCCATGAAAATATGAGCTCAATGCTAAGCAGTGATGAAAAAAGCCAACAATTTCTACTTTCCAACTTTTCTGACCATTGTATTATCAATTAATATGGGAATTGAAATATATCAACTTTCAATTACTTCAAGAGTGACTTTTCCTGAATAACATTAGTATTCCTGACAGTTTTCATAATCATTAAATGTGAGGAAGATCTTTTTGCCTTCAACTGCCTCAAATTTACTTAGATTCAATGTTGGACTAATAAAAATATGATTAGTTGGGCAGAGCCATTTTGGACTGCACCACTCTGCACTTGTAATAAGGGTGCAACAGGGATGCAGAATGAAAATAAGGAAAAAATAATGTTTCTTTAAAAAACCTGTACCTTCCACTCCTAAACACAAGTGTCTGTCACAATCTAAAGCAAAACAAGAGAAAAAGCACAGAACAGCAGACAATTTTTTAGCTATTGTTCTGTCAAGGATTTCACGTCCGTTCAGAAACAGAAAAAACAAAACAACAGCCGAAAATGTGCATTGAGATGTGGCCTTGAGGAAAGCCTAAAGTACTTCTCATGTTGAATGCTGACTTCAAAGGATATTTTGGACTCCAACACTGCCTCATTTTGTTCAGGCATACAGATTTAAACTCTCTGCAAGCTAATGGTATCAACCACTGTGTGATTTCATTTCTCTTCATTTGAGAAGATTCTTCCTTCCATGAAAACAGTCAAACTCTAAATGTTTAAATGGCCAGTTAGATAAAAATAGTAGTGCTCTCTATCACTGACAGGTACCAAAAGCTGTAGTGGAAAAACACAGCCTATCTGCCATCTATGACATGGGAACAAAGAGAACTTTCAGACGGTCTGACAAGCCTAAAGGACACTTGGAGACTTAACTGAAAGCCACAGATCTACACTTCTTAGTGGGGAAAAAAAAAAGGAACAGCACAGAATGATGTGCATCATACCAATGCAAGAAAATTTTACCTTTCTATTTCAAACGCATACGTCCAGCAGTACACAGACAACTTTGCTTTTAAACTCACCTTCAGTGTTTTGATCATTGTTGGATCAGTTGATCTAACATAGAAACTCTTCAGATAAGGTTCAAACATGCCCTGAAAGGCAGAATACATTTAAGTAGCTTGCCTGTGTTTCATATAAAATGTGATTTAAAAAATTATAAATAGAGTATACCTTTCTCTGAATTGACATAGTGGCAATATTTTGCAGAACAATATACTGCACCTCCCTAGAATTTGAAAAAAAAACCAAGAGTTATTCTGCAAAATTACATATACATATAATAAGGCAACATGGCAAAGGAAGTCCAATCCTCTTTGAATCCAAAAGTAGTTACACGTTTGACTTGGCACAAACATAGAAGGAAAAAGCTTATTGCCAACTGCTACAGGGTCATCATCTGTTTCACAGCAAGATGCATGATGAAACCAGGTTCTCATTTTTAAAAACTTCAGTATGAAAAACATTACTGACACCACTAAAATGGTACAATGCTTCTTTAGGCCCTTGGACTTTGTTTAAACCTAAAATTCTTTTAATACTTGGTCATTCTGGCACCTCGAGAAACAGCTCACAAAAACCTTACACTTTGTCCACCATCTTGAAACTTAAATATTTCGGGATGACACAGCTGAGAACTAAACCACATAGGCCTTAGCTGTAGTGTGGAAATGACTGCACTAGTTAACAGAACAGGTAATCCTTCCACAATGAGCAAGAATAGTTACGACTTTGTTCTTAAAATATTTCCTAGTAATTCTCAAAAAGGGCCAGGATCTGCTGTGACTTAAGAGTATATACTGGCAGGCACATGCACCTATCAAAAAGTAGCGCTTTAACATAAATAGACTTTGTCAAGATACAAACAACAAATTATGTGATACTCTAAACACAAAAACATTGAACATGTTTGGAGGATATTCTCCCCATTAATGTATTCATTTAAAAGCCTCAGCAGGAGTGAGCAAAAAGAAATCTGGGTACTAGTCTAAAACTTTTGAACCATAGAGTTTCTGCCACCAACTGCTTAAAAATTAAGAAATAATTTACATGCCATTTTTCTGAACCATGAGTGCTCAAATTCTTTCATGCTGCAAATCATATCCTAATAGAGAAATCATCACATCCATTATCCACTCTTACTCAAAACAGTCTAATAGCCCTGTGGTAATTACAGCTGTTGCTTACAAAGAAAAGTAATAATAGACAAGTACTTAATATCTTTTAAACCTGTTTTTATGTAATTCTTACATAGGTACATGGAAATAGTCAGCTGCACATGATAACATGATGAACCAAGACTGAAAATTGCTATGAAATGCTCTTCCAGGCACTCTCACCCTAACTAGATTATGGAGCATTTGACATTAATTTAAAGGCCGTAGGCACATAACTTCAAGGGCAAACAGCAAAAGCTTATTTCAAAGTGGATCTAATAGCAAAAGTATTCACACAGACTGGTAAGAGAGAACAGACAAGGCATTCAACGCAGGAAAGTCAAAAGACTAGTGCCATTTTAGGCACTAGTTGAGGTACAGGAAAGATGCAAGTTCTCTTCTGATGAGATCTGAGTATAAATGAGCAATAAACAACATGCAAAAATAATCCTTTCAACCTGTGAGTATGAGTTTAGTTCTACACACTGTCTATAAAAGTACCAAAGTGCTTTAGACATTTTATCTTTGTATAAAGAGAATAGGAAGCACACAGTACTATAAAACCAAACACAAAACTAACAGTAATTAATTTTTATCTGAAATAAAAGCATGAATGCTCTACCAAGCCCAATTTTACTTCTTTACTATCTTCTAAATGACAGAGGCTTTAGCCTGGGGGAGATACAGAAGTTTAGAGAGAAAGAGCTCCATGCTGACTGGACTTATGAAAGTTAAAGCTCATCTAAGACAAGTAATCTTGTCAGACACAACAAAACTGATTTTTTTTTAACCTTTTTTTTCTGTTTGATTTGACCAACTTTAAAAAATATATCATCGTCACAGCAAAGTTCTAGCCAAAAATACCACATTTATTTAGAAAGATATTCTGAAAATATCTTAATATTGTGCCTCCTATCACCCCTTCAAGGCTTTTCATACAGATACATCGAAGTTCAAAACACAAAAACTGAGGGGGAAAACCCACCACATTTATGCAGCAAATATTGGCATAATATGCCACAACTATCTAATACAAAGAAAAAAAAGAGTATTATCAATATTATGAAACATTTGGCCAGTGATACCCTTCACAGGAAAGCAGACCAGGACACACTGAAGATGATAAAGTCAAAATTATATGTCCAGAATGAAATATAAACTTATTCTTTAAAAACAGTCCAACAGTTAAGGAAATACAGGGTATTCAGCACCATCAAGTGGGTAGTTCAAGAAATATATTTCTTAGTTTCTTTGTCAACAAGAAATCTTCAATATAAAGTGCAGGAAAAGAAAATACACAGCTGAAGACATTTTTCAGTGCCCAGAAAGACACAATTAAATTTCCAATAATTTAAAAAAAACCCAAGAAACTAAGCAAACCAGTTAGCACTGCCTCTATGCTAACTAGGCAGCCATGATTCTTCTCACAATGAAAGTCATAATTAAGCATGAAACATTATACTGAATGTTCACTGGATTGAATGTTGGAATTCCTTTTAATGATCCTAATTTGTTGAGTAAAAATTAATATTACAGGACAATTTAAAAATAAACTCTAATAGTGCAATAGTTACATTCTTATAACTACAGATAAACAAGTATATGTGAAAAACTCTCACAAAAAAGTACCCATAGCAAGGTGAAGTATGGACTTGACCTACCTGTTACTACGGAGTAAACGCACCAATGACTTAGAAACAATACCAGTTTCAGATTTTGGTGCCAAGTGCCAGTAAAGCTGTGCAACTGCCATTACCACCTAAAAGAAGAACATTCAGAACGGCATGTTAACTTCAAATTGTTCTACATACCCATCACATTTGCTTATTT